TTCTGCTCTGTGTTCTATTCAGACAGGAAAGTTAACGTGAGTAATATTCAGCTACCATATGTTACAGCTACACTAGTGTTGCTAAATTTTACTCAGAGCAACACATTAATCCAACAGCATCTTTGTCACATTTCAAAAAAGTTAAAAAAAAAAAAAAAAAAACCCTAGTTGTTAGCTTGCATTTTTTCTATGGCAGCACAAATCCCACCAGATGAAAACAGAAGAGACAGGTCCAGATTAAAGGAACAGTCCTTAAAGTCTTTTATTCTGTCAGTATAGTGAAACTACAGACCTGCACAGTCTTGTAAAACAAGCAGTAGCAGGAACTCCGTAAAAAGACGTTAATGTTATGGTAACCTCATTTCTCAAGCCTAAATTGTTGAAACTAAAGCACTTAAGACACAAGGAAATTAGAAAGCAGAAATGCTGTTTTAGTTTTATATTACCTCGAAGCTTTGCTCACTGGGCAGAAGCTCACACACACACACACAACTGTGTGCAATAGTGTAGTTAATAACGTTCTCAGTCTCTCTTTGTACTTTCTTTGGCTTTAACTTGTAGCAATATTCATTCTGCTCTTGGGGGATTTGCTGTGTTATTAAAAGGCAATATCCAGCTTACAGGAGTGGAGGCTTCCTTGTTATTTTCCAGTCTTTTTATAATGAAGAGTGTGACTTTATTTCCAATTTACAATGTCAGTCCACACATTGCTTTCTTTGTCTAAACGTGGCTGTGTAAAAACAAATCTCATGTGGCAGAAAAAAGAAGAAATCCCAGTGAATTATATTGGATTATTTTCATGTTTCTAGTTCTTTATCTTTTTCTAATCTTCTAACCACTGTACGTAGACAGTCTATTTTGTTGTCTTTTTACTATGGTTGCTGAAGGTCAAATGCTTCAAAGACATGCTGAGAAAGGACTGTGATTATATCAAACCAACCACATCAGCAGGTGGTGGGAACATTGGTCCCTGAAATGTATTTGTGTTGTCAATCAACTTAAACATGTAAGTAAGGGGAAAAAATCACAACAGTTTCAACTGTTGCAGATTAGTGCGGAAGCAGCCGAGGGGCAGCTGGTGGCCATCAGCTAGATCACAACAAAGCAGAGTTAAAATCCTATTGAAGGCCATTTTGAATGGACTTTGAATGGAACACACAATACTGCAGAATTGAAGACAGCCTTCATCTGTAGCTGTTTCACTGTAGGCTGTTATAAACAGGTTGACATACTCAATAGGGGACAAACAGTGAAGTGTTAGTTGATGTCAACTTTGTAAATAAAATACTGTTAAACAAACCAGCATTAGCACAGTAGTAGTTGCAACAAGAAAGGCAGAATAGTTTATGCCAGTAATTTAAAGAACTCTAATCTTCATCTGTGGTTTTCTTAAGACTGTTGTTCTGCAGCATATTTACAATGAGATTGTTTACCATACATACACTAGGAGGATTTTGTTCCATCCTGTTTTTACTGTGACACATTGATTGACCTGTTGTGTTGTTTACACCTCTGAGTATCCAAAGTGTTTGCTGATGATACACACACAGTTTGTACTTGCTGAGAAATGATTTATTTTAACATGTCATTTTGAGGCTTTTGAGGTCTTAGTGCATGTACTCAACCGATACTTCTTCATCTTTAGCAGTAATATCCATTAATTGACAACCAAAATGATAACCTCGGTATAATAAATCTCCATGTTGTTTCCTTTTTTCATTTCTTAGCTGAGTGATTTAAAGCTTCAAAAGCATAAGGTGCAATAAATCAGCTGAGCAGGTAGTGGAAGAGTATTTTTAAGTCAGGGACTCTCTTCTTTTCTAAGTACCATATTTCTCAATGTCCTTGAGATGTACCACATAAACTTCAAAGGAACTACTTAAATAGGACCCACAGAAGGTACTACACAGGTAGAGATCAGAGGTGACCCTGAAGGTAAGGGTTGTGCAGACAGGATTAAGAAGCTCAGAAGTGTAGGCAGGGGTTGAGAAAGTGGGAGCAGGGGGGACTAGAAGCAAGCCAAGAAATGCAAGAGTTACTGTGAAGTCTATAAAAAAATCTGTGTCAAAGAACTTGGGTTTGAAGCAGGGAAATTGCTGAAGTCAAATGAAAGCGGTGTAGAGTGAGGTACTGTAGCGTCTGGTGAAGCAGCTTTTACTGAGGGTTGATGACATGTCTGTCCATAAGGAATATGCATTAGTACATTTCAACTGAGGGTCAGGAATGTAAAGAGAATCCCACTGGGATGAAATGACTTCTATCCTGGAGCAGATAGGGTGTGGACCAGTGCTGTGGACGGGAGTGTTTGTTGTCATGTGAAATGATTAGTCAACCAAAAGGACTTCAGTGTTGAGACAACTAAAACATGTCAGTGCAATTTCACATAACTAAGTTGTCGTGCTCACCGCAGAGTAATCATTCATCACGACAGCATCACAACACACATCAATGCACACTGATGGGAGCGGAGCAGTATTTTAGTTGTCATTTTATGTAATCAATGGTTTGTTTCTAAAGATATTAAAATACATTTTATTCAGTTGAGTCACGTTTCGTGAGTCAGCTGTTGTTTTCTTATGTGAACATTATAATTGACTGGCACATGTGACACCAACAGCCATCAGATCAGCTGCACGTGATGGGATGTCTGTACTTTCCCTGATTCTATTCTTAATATTTATTAAATAAAAGTGAATTGTTTTAAAAGAAAAGCACATGACAGTAATTTGTTTGTGGAGTTAATCAGTTGCTTTGGACTGGACACATTCCTTGGAATCATTTCACATCCAACTGTGGAAAACATTGGGGGCGTCTTATTTCAAATATTGAATAGTTTAGCAAAGATTTAGCATCCAGCTGGTCAACTTCTGACACTTTCTTGAACTATGGAATATTTTGTGAGGCATGAACGTCCACATGGTCTCACTTTATCAACATCATTGCTGTTGTAACTAACTGTGTTGTCACTGTTTTGGTCAGAGGGGTGATTTATCATTCTGCAGGCAATTTATTGCAGGGAAGGGTGAGAGAGGGCAAGGGCTCAGGGCAAAGAGTGGCTGAATGGAATGCATTTATTTACAATGGAATATCTCACAATGCCTCTTGAAACGATGAAAACATTCAATATCTTATGGTCAAAATATAATGTTGTGTTTGTAAAAGTGTCAGTTCATGACACATTTAGTATAATATTTCCCGTTGATATGAAGTTCTAAAACCTCTGACCACCTCCAGGGCTTTATTGAGATGCAAAAAATAATTTGAAATCTCTAAACCTTCAACAACTCCTGGTGTGATTTCTAAACCTCTAAGTCTGGAAAGCACGTCATGAAAGGCTGGTTATTCATTTGCCTTGCCTTGATTTACAGCCTGCCACCACCAGCTGCCAGCGCCATTTTGTGTCAGTGTTTGGAGAGCTTAAGGGAACAGGCTATTGTAGGCATTTTTAGAAAAGGGTCTGTGTTCTCTTAATGTGACATGAAAGCTAAACTGGAGGACCTCCTCACCGTCCTGACCAGGCACTCGTGTGTTTTTAGGCCTCCGAGTGAAAATATAGACCTGTGGCCAAGTGTCAGCAGGTTCCTGTAAACATTCATAAATGCCTCATACACTCGCTGCTTAAGGCCAGAGGTGTGAGGGGAGAAAAATGAAGTCCAAACTGTGACCTGTGTGTGGGAAGGAAAGGCATTGTAGGTTGGGAATGGTTATAGCAGTAACAAGGGGAAATGAGGGTGAGGGATGAGAGGGGAAATTGTGGAGAGTAAGAAGTGGTTTCCTTAGCTAATAAAATGCATGGAGGGATTGAAGCTGCCAGCAAGCATTCCTGTGCCATTAGATAAGGGAGCTCACAGCAGCCTCCAGTTTCTCTGCAGTGCTGAAGTGGCAAGCTGAGGTCACCGCCAGGGAGTGAGGGGGAAGAGTGGGCAATAAATTCACAGCCTTTTTCAGCACGGTTATTCCTCTTAATCCTCTGTAGCTGTTTGGTTTATGATTTACTTTGGAATTTATAGCCATAATGTGGACAGATCTGCGCTCTGCTGTTTTCTCCCCTTCATTCTTTCCCCTCTCCCTTCATTTTGTAGAATTGCAGCAATGTGGTTTTGTAATTTGTTCAGAAAAAAATGAAAAGGTATACTTCTGCCTTGTCAGTGATTTTGAAACTGTTTCCACTGGGAAGTGTTTGGTTTCCTGAGGAGAAACACATTTTGAGTGGGACCAAATATAGATTTAAAATGCAAGGTCAGACATCGCAGTCAGCACAAGTCAGATTGTGTAGCTCACATCAAGCGCTCCCAAATTCACACTCGCCAAATGGCAACTCAAAGGCTTCTAAGTATGACAGATTGCAGCAATTCCAAGAGAGTCAAGGAGCTTTTCTTGCACACTTGGTTAGGGGCTGTCAAACTGAACCATTGACATTGAAATGGTTGGACCAAAGAGCTGCCTGCTTGTTTGTCTGAAGCTTTAGTAGACATACACACAATATTATCCCCAAGGTAGAGTTTTATTTGTCTGCAAAGTGACACAGAGGAATGGGAAAAAAATAATTGCCTTCACATAATTCTCCTTGAGGGAGATCTCCTCTTCTGTGAGATGGCTTATTTAAATGGAAACTGTGCTCAGTAAGTGAGTGTGCCCTGCTTACAATAATGTGCTCATTCTTCTGGAGACCTTCAGGCTTCCACCTGTATTTTCCCTTCACAGTAATGAATGCATTTCAGTCTCTTCAAAGTCTTCCAAATTACATCTGTCTTCTTCCTGGGCCGTGCTGAATAAAGGTGTTGAGGAAATAAACTTTAATATTTGTCGAGGAATCATCACACACAACAACCATTTTTTCACACATTTTGTGTGTAACAAATAACAAGTGGTGATTGAATAAACACCGGTGTAAAATGATAATGAAAATACTGACATGTCGTGATATCCTAATTATGACAACTATTTTCAATTTGTCTGAATAAAATCAGATGATGACGTTTGAATTTTTTGTTGCACAGGTATGCTGGTGGTCAATGTTACCTGGAGAAACAAGACCTACGTGGGCACCTTACTGGACTGCACACGGCATGACTGGGCTCCCCCACGGTAAGGAGGATATTGGATTTTGCAGCCAGGACTGCAGTGCTGTGAATAATTTACACAAACTTATGTGATTGTGAATGTGCAAGCAGAAAAATAACCATAGTTAACTTTTGTGTTCCAAGCCGTCCTTGGCTTTTCACTCTGCGATAATGATCTGTTTCATTAGAGTTACCTGCAGATACATGTATCAGTGTGTGTGTGAATACTGTGGAGACCATGTTAGTCCCATTATTTCACTCCTGGAGACACAGGATTACCTGGAAAATGACCTTCATCCCCTGGGGTAGTTGTGGACATAGCTGCTTAGTCAGATTAGAAAATCCAATTATTATCATTATAGGTTTACTTAGCATTAATGTTGTGAAATGTTTTTAGTTAAAAGGCTTTACTTTTTTCAGATCATTGTCCTGTGGGTGGCAGCTTAAGATATTTGTATATCAGAATGTTTGCCTTTGTTATGCAAATCACAGGTTGGGCTAAACACATGTTCCGAGCGTTGCTTTGATTTCTTTATCTAAATGTAAATCTATACTTGGAAATCCATTGTTAAGTGCAATAGGGACAAAACAAGATTAAAGCGCTGCTAATGGAAAACAAGGAGAGTCTGCATCGCACTAATGCATCACAGTATATCACCATAATGTTCAGGGTTTGCACAGTAAGTGGGGTGTGCTGCTCTGTATTTGTGCCAACATATTCGTACAGTTTTGCAAGCAGGGCTACATTAGGGACACGTCATGAATAATTCAGGAGGCTTTCAACAGAGAGAATATAAACTTAGGCTGGTAATGACTCTAAATTCCTCCACTGATGTCAAACTGTGGATGTGTTCACATTCCCTGCTGGGGCTGAAATTGTTTGTAGAGGAGGCTGTGTCATACCATCTTGATCATTTTTAGTCACAGACTGCTAACCGCCGCTGTGCAGGAAGATAATTACATTAGTGTTATGGAGGGATGAGGCCAATCTGCTATTTTAAGTATTAGAATTAGTATATTTAGCTTTCAAACAATGCAGATGAATGTTGCATCTTCAAACATTTATATTTTGATTAGCCGTGCACTGAAAAGCTTACACAGTACTTAAGGGATGAGACTTTAAGATCAGTGTGTAATGATCGAACATGGAGGAAAGGGGACAGGACAAATGAATCATCACTTTCTCTGATAATTGGACGTTTGTTACTGCCTACTGTCACTTTTGATTGTGTACAAAGGTCATTAGTGACACAGTGTTAAAGGCGTTTGTGAATAACAATTAATACACGTACACTGTAAAATGTCATACAGTTTCAAGACTTATATGACTAATATGAACCAAAGGACTTGCTCTCAACCAACTCAATGAAGTGTAAAAGGAAAAAAGGAAAAATCATGACTCACAACTTATGACATTTAAGGCAGTAGAAATAGGAATGGGACCCAATACTTTCCAAATAATCAAAATCTTTTTTCCTACAATTTTGTTTAAAACAAAAGAAATATTTGTTTCATGCAAAGAGAATGAAACAAATATTTCGGTCTCTGAGCATTTTCCTGCTTGGTGTCCTCACTGTTTGGGTTGAGCTCATATATTGCACTACACATCATTCAATGCGGCACAGCGCTGCGCTTGTATATAACACTGCCTTTAAGTTAAATGGATATTTAAAAACCCAACATAAAAAAATATTGGTGATGATAGCATAAAACAATCCTTGAATCTGTTTGGGTTGGGGGTAGAACCTCTATAACCTCCAGAAATTGCCTCTGCAATACAATTAGTTTTAAGTTGAGGCTTTTTCTTTAAATCTGATAGTATTAAAGTATCCACACCATTTTGTTTAACAGCAGAGGCTAAAGTAACACAGCAACAAAATGAAAAAGTACTGATTGACCTGCCTGTGTGTGTGCATCTGACAGGAGCCCAGACAACAGTGATGAGGTAATTACAGACTGTTGAGGTGTTAAACACACTTGACTGATCCGTGGCTCCATCAACATCATTCAACCTTCAAATATGTGTTGAACAAACACAACGTAAAAAAAAAAAACGTAAACATTTCAAGCATGTCACACTTTTGCCTGACCGTCAATGTAGACAGATGTTTGACCCAAACTGTTTACAGATCATTGTATTATAGAAATACAGTAATCCCTACAAGTAGACAGAAGACTAGGATTGGATTTTTAATCACAATGTTATGATCAGTTATTAGAAAACATAATTTAAAAATAGAAATAGTAATGATTGGTATAACCCAAAGGTCAGCATTGATTTTGATAATTCACAGATTGATTATGACGCTGTTGGTGCTACAGTGACATTATAACCCCACTGATCCTGGCTTGGACCCATACGTGTTGATAATTAATAATTTATGATTCTGTCAAGCTGGTTAGTAGTATATAGTTAATTGTTCAGGCTTACCAGAAAGTATAAAAAAACAATAAAATAACTTCATGTGCCTAATCTTGTGTACACATTTATTTTATTTTGTTCATCTGAATTTTTGTTTTATGTGATAAGAATAAATAAATTCAGTCATGTTAGTGTATATTTAAAAAATTAAAAAATATTTTTTGTAAATAATCAAGGTATATTTTCACAACATTGTTTGTTCTTTTTTTAATAAATAAAGCACTAATTTGTAATTGTTCAAATGCAGGTTTTGTGAATCACCTAACAGTGATCTCGAGATGAGGAACGGTCGTGGCCGAGGCAAACGAATGAGACCCAACAGCAACGCGCCTATTAACGAGAACAGCAACTCATCAGACAATAAAGGCGCCGCCCACAACAAGACACGAGCTGCTGCCAACAGCAAAGGTCGAAGGGGCAGCCAAACGCCCTCAGAGCGCCGCACTCCTCCTAACAGTAACACAGAGGACATTAAGGCCAGTCCCTCGTCAGTCGGAAAACGCAAAACCAAACCCATCTCAGACATGGAGCCGAACTCTAGCTCAGAGGACACCAAAGGCAACAAACGTATGCGTACCAACTCCAACAGTGGAGGGGTGGGACCAACAGGTCTGCCTGTTCCCTCTATAAAGACTGAGACACTTCCACCTCCCCTCGATCGCAGCTGCTCCTCCCCAGTTCTCATCGATTGTCCACACCCTAACTGTAATAAAAAATACAAGCACATAAACGGTCTGAAATACCATCAAGCTCGTGCCCACAATGATGATGACATAAAGTTGGACTTAGACGCAGACAGTGAATATGGGGAAGATTCAACTCTTCACCCTGAACCGGGGAACTGTAACGGAGCCTCCCAAAAAGGGTCTCTTTCTCCAGCACGTTCTGTTACCCCAAAAGGCAGGAACTTTGATGCTCAAAGTCCTTCTCCTTCTCCTGGTAAGTTTGCTTCAAAGCAGAATAAAAAGAAAATTGCTGAGGCAGATCCAGAAACAGGATGTACACCCATGGATGGGTGTGAGGATGGGCCGTGTCTCACTGATGAGGCCAGTAATGATGGTGTAGATGATAAAAGAGGATCGGAAAAGTCCAAAAAGGTTAGCACAAAGGCGGATAAAATGGCACACAAAACCATGAAATCACCACGGCCTGTTGGCTCTGGCACAACAGCATCCCAGCAGATGTATTCCTTTCCCCCTGGAAACCCAAATTCTTCCCCTGGAATGAACCCAATGATTCAGGGTATCCCAAAGAGCCCCCAAATGAAAGGCACACAGCCTAAACCTCCTGCCATCGTAGATCCTGTCTCAAGTAGCTCCAAAGACAAGAAAAAGAAAGAAAAAAAGAAAAAAGATGGTGGGAAGGAAGCTGACAGCCCTAAACCCCCAGGAAAGGGAGGAAAGATGGAGGAAGGTAAGCTTCCATACTCAGAGCCCTGTGATCAAGGGAATAAGGGGGAAGGACTGATTAATGGTTCCTCAGATCCTCATCAGAGCCGCTTGGCTAGTATAAAGGCTGAGGCTGACAAGATCTACAGCTTTTCTGACAATGCCCCCAGTCCATCCATAGGTGTAGCCAGTCGGATAGATGGTAGTGGAATGCCACAACCTGTCACCCCCCTACACATGAACCAGAATGGTGCTGACAACTCTTCAGTAAAAACAAACAGCCCAGCATATTCTGACATTTCCGACGCTGGGGAGGATGGTGAGGGGAAAGTGGAGGGTGGTAAAGTCAGGACGGAGGACCAAGCCATTAGGGAAAATGTCAAAAAAGCACTTTTTTCAAATCAAACAACACCCAATAAGGACTCTCCATTCTACTCCGGCTACGAGACCTATTACTCACCAAACTATGTCAACCCCAATGTCAGTGGAACTACTCCAGGAACACCAGCAATTGAAGGTCAGGTCAAAATCAAAAGGGAGGAAGACCAGGACCTAGTTGAGGAGAAAGTCAAGGTTGAGATTCACGAAGATCGTAAACCTGACATCAGTGCTCCTGGGCCACAGCAACAGCAACAGCAACCCTCAGTCATTCAACAAAGATCCAACATGTACATGCAACCTCTTTACTACAACCAATATGCTTATGTGCCACCATATGCATATCATCCCGATCAGGCCTATCATAACCACTTGATGAACACCAACCCAGCGTACAGGCAGCAGTATGAGGAGCGTCAGCGTCAGATTGCAGAGCAGCATCGTGCTGCTGAAAAGAAGCCAGACATAGCCTTAAAGGAGCGAGAAGCATCCTTCAAGGACGAGTGGAAACAAAAAAGTCCAATGCCACCAAGTCTCTCCAAAACCTCGAGTCAGTCTGAGCTTGGAAAGCCCTCACAGCACCCAGGGAAATCGAGAGACTCACCCCCTGAGCAGTCCTCCAAGTCTATTGCAAGTATAAAGGGAGAGGACACAAAGTCCCAGCAGGCTGAGGGGCTAAAGATGAAAATGACTGAAGGGATCCATCATGGAAAGGAAGAATCCAAGCCATTGGAGTCCAGAGGTCCAGCAGGGATTGAGCAAGCCATGTGGTACAGACAGGTAAATACTCATAATCATGTATTGCAATACCAGAGTATGTGAATGTTCCAGTTAAAATCAAATCAAATTATTGTCTCCATGGGGAACCTTGGATACACAGGTGCTGCAGCTATGATGGATGTTCTGTTTATACTAGATCCTAATAACCAAAAGGCTTACCACTTACTCTGCTAAATGTGAAATCTTCAAAAATGGTACTTGCATTTCAGACCTACTCTACTAAGACATTGGGGTCTAGGTTAGTCATTAATGCTGATGTTACTATTTATCATATACAATTGGAAAATAAAGTTCTACCGTTATTGTAAATTGTTTTTTCAGAGTCGGCGGCAAAAATAATTTAAAGTGATTCTCTTCTCCATAAGCAGTATCCTGACAGCCAGAAGCCCCAAGCAGAGGAAGAACACCCGCAACCTCGATGGAAAGAGGACAGGGAAAGGGAGCGGGAGCGGGATCGAAAATTAAAGGAAGACAGGCCTCGACCCAAGGACAGTCAAAGTGGGCCTAAAGAGGATGGCAAGGACACTAGTGATGTCAGAATAATGTCTGAGGACCCCCGCATCATGAGCAAAGACTCTCGTTCTAATCCTCACATGCAGTTTTCGTCACCGCTAGCGCAACACCAAGGCTATATGCCCTACATGCACGGTTACCCATACGGACAAGGTTTTGACCCAAACCACCCTGGATACAGGGGTATTCCCTCTGTCATGATGCAGAATTACCCAGGTATGACATTAGATTTAAACTCAGATGCTGTGTAAAAAAATAATGTTAATTTAATCTGACTTAATTAGTGAGTTAAGTGATTTTTTTTTACTTTTTTGACCTTTTTAGACTTCTTTTGAACAATTTCAGGAGTGTGGTTGAAGTGAATGTTGTTCTATGTAGTGAGTCGCTCCATGCTAAAGACATTAGCTTTGTAGGTTTCACTTGACTTTTTGTACAAGTTATTTTCTGAAGGACTGACATCTCTACAAAGTCAAGTGATGTTCAGACGCCTACGGCAAACGGCTCTTGAAGTAATTTGAAGCAATTATTGTACATTAGAGACTTCAAAGCAGTATGATTAGTGATGATTTGATGAAACCCAATGAAAGGCAAAAACATTCAATCATGGTTTGATTATTGTCAACCTACAGAGTGGTGTCTGCAGTCATGAAGAACTGAAAACAATTACAGAAAAAACTCAAACCTGTGTTTTGTTTGTATAAATAACACAATAATGTTGCTACCTTTACACATGCAGTGGGAAGTAGCCTCATTAGAGGCTCATATTTAATGTAATATTTGAAAGTGGAAAGTGGCCTTTTTGTTCTCTCCTCTGAGACAGAGTCTGAAACTCATTCATGTTGGTATGCCTGATGAGGACAAACCTATTTTGCGATGCTGGAAAATGCTGGTAGTTTGACTGCGACTGAGTTTGACGTTTAGAAACTCTCCTGAAGTTTGTAATTGAAATATATTACACAGAAAAACACACATTAAAAAAATATATTACACAGTAAACAGAAAAATAGGTTTTAATAATGAAACTACAAAAAAAGGTTAAACTCTTGAGTTAACTCTTTATTAAATAAATCCATGCCCAGCACTGCATTTTTACATAAATGTGTATTTATTTTGCTGTGTATTTTTTATTTCTAGCCAAGTTTTCAGCAGTACCTAATGGTGAATATATTTCTGTTAATACCTAAGTATTCATGATGAGCTAAACTCATTACTTTAGGACTGTTATTGTTAAAACCCTAAGGCACCAAACCTTTCAGGCACAATGAGTGTTGTCAGTCAACATTACTCATCCAGTTTTCAGCATACGACGTTTGTTTATATGTAATTATTCTGTTTTATTCTTAGGTTCTTACCTACCTGGAGGTTATCCTTTTTCTCCATATGGAGGTAAAATAAGTGGAGGTGAGGAAGGCGGAGACAAATCTCGTGCTAGTCCCACTGTCACGAAAACAGCAACAGACTCCAAAGCCCTGGAAGTCCTGCATCAGCACGCGAGCCAATACAAAAGTAAATCCCCCACAGTAGCTGACAAGGCCCCCCATGACAGGGAGAGGGAGCAGGACAGAGGAGGTTGCGACAGAGATCGGGAAAGGGAGCGCGAGAGGGAACGGGAAAGAGACATGGACCGCCCGCGCTCCTCCCCTTCCCAACGCATTATGCCCTCTCACCACCACATGGGATACCCTCTGCTCTCAGGGCAATATGACCTGTCCTATACAACAGGTGAGACAATCCTATCACTTAATATTTTGTAAATAACTTAGGATATTTAAATGTTACTGAAAAGGTGAACCAGGCAACACCATCAAGTACTCTTCTGCCTCTCTTCACCAGCAGTTTGAGAACAGCTATGTTTCCCTTACCAACAGTGACAAACAAAATGCAGACAGTAAGGTTATAGGACATTAAATTAAAATTAAAGACATATTACTCGGTTGTCAAAGTGATACACAGTTTTCTATTTTTTCTCTCTGAATTTTTCACATCTGGTCCTAATGCATCTCATATTTTGTAGAAGAAGACCAGAAACTCATGATTGAGACCACACGATGCTGTGAAAAATGATCACTGTCTTTTTAAATCAAAGAAAAATGGGCCGAATTCAACATTGATTTGAATAGAAAGATCACTGCTTTGAAAACAAGTGGAGCTTTAACCACACGTAGGCACAACTTTCTCCAGTCTATGAATAGAACGCACCTGAACTGCAGCATTGTAGCATTTTGCCTGAGGAATAACACAGGCCTAATGAGACCAAATGAATAGGTTAGAGCTGCTATGCACACAGCTTCAGTCTAAATCTGTAGACACTGTGTTTAACTACAGGATGTAAAACACACTGTTGGCATAAAGCCTCATTGTTCTCGGTCCTGTCATCGTTGGATTGGGATTGAAAAGAAGGAGCTCTGTCCTTCCACCATTGTGTTTCTGCTCAATCAGGTCCTTTATTATTCTGCTGAAACCTAGTACAATATGTACGCCAGCGTTTAGCCCCTCAGCTCGTCTGCGCTGAGTGGTCCTCTGAGGACAAGTGGAAGGATTTCAGTGTTGATACAAGAGTAGCTGAGGCCAAACAGACGTTACAGTCACCACTGCCATCTAGTGGTGGAAATTCCTTCAATTCACCAAAACGGTTATAAACAGCTGTTTGACTATTTTTCCTTTATTTTTTTTTTTCCTGTTTACTCGATTTGAAATAAGTATGTAGCAGGAATATAGGGCGACATCCTTTGTTTTATATTTATATATAAATAAATATTTATATATACAGTATCTAAGGGGTCTGAATGTTCTGTCTTATATCGTTGTTTAAGGCATTTAAAGTAACATTATTTTTTCTTGTTGCTCACATCATTATTTTTACCACCAGTACAGTTACAAACTGCTATTAAACATTATAAATACTCTAGTACAATGTGGTACTTTTACAATTGTATCAGGGGTTTTGTTTCTGTATCTGCTGCCCAATGGTAACCCTTGTACTGTTTATTAAGCCTGATTCACTTCACCACTGTATTCGTGCTAACTGCTAAATAAATGTTCAACGTCGTGTTTTGCAGGGAAACCTGACCGTCACACCTCAACCCTGCAAAGATTCATGTGACTGGCTCACATGAGAGGACCATCTCCTGGGCGATAACCTTTTAGACATCAGTTGAATGGTGTTCCTAACTCTATTTTTTATTTCTTCTGCCGTAAGGGCAGGCAGATTGTCTCTTTTTTTCCTCCCCCTCATAAGTCACCCTAAACTCTCCACACACCGGACTGTGACAGGACTGATAATAACCCAGGTTCAAAGCCATCACTCTGCCCTATCACGCAGAGAAAACACCAACCCGCTGATTATCTAGTCTTTGCACTGTCAACAAATACAATGCAAAAAGAGACAATTGAACTGTCAGACAGCTTTTATGTTTATGTTTTTTTTTCTTTGACTGCATTGTTTTTGTCGCACTCGAATTGAATTGGCAGTAATTTGGGGAAGATGGGTGGGTGATGGGAAAAAGGATTTAAATTTAGGACTTGGGCGGGGGAGGGGGAGTAAATCATTTAAAATGGTTTAAACTCACGTCTTTGGCTTCTCTTATGCTGTGAAACAACAGTATGTCTTTAACTTGACTAGTGTTTGGCTATATTTTGTGGGGGTGATGGAATATGGCAACAGCTGCTTTTTTCAGAGACTTTAAAGCCTGAAACTGATGTTCTTTATTTCCCCATCGTCATTGTTATTTCCCAGCCTCTTTGAATCCACCGTCTTGTTTCAGGGATGATGTCCAGGGTTTTTTTTTTTTCTTTTGCAAAGGGACCGCGTAGACCTCAAAGGTGAATAAACACTATTCATGTTTTTACTTCTCATTGATCTTTTAGTTTGACTTCACATCACTGGGTTCATCTTTGAATGTGTCGGCTGCTGGTGTTAGTCCTTTATTTCCTCACATCTATAGGGTCAGGTCTGTCTTTAGCACACGGTGAAGCCACGTTAGCGAGCAGTTATTTCACAGGGCCATTCTCATTGGGCTGCTCGTGTTTCTACTGTAACATCCTCCTTCATTCAACTCGTGCTGTTTCTGTGAACAATGTGAAACCTCACTCAGCTCATGTTTTTTTTTTTCCTGCTGTAAAAAAGACGTCAAACCAACATCACGTGCAGAAATATAAATATTTATCCCAAAACAGAAATGTTTGAAACGACTGTCACTGTTAAACAGCTCTCTGCTTCCACAGTGTCTGGTATTTAAGGGTTACAACTCTTTTTCACTTTCTGTTCTGGTAGTCATTTCTCTCACTTGTGTGACTTCACCACAACAAACATTTCTTCAGCTCAGACAGTTGTCACAGCTCTGGATCAGTTCCATCCAAACAGTCTGAAACACACACACACACACACACCAGGTTCCTTTTGGACACCTGTTACTCACATGGTGGTGTTACAACTACTAACATATTCAGAACAAGTGGTTGAAGTAATTTCTCCCCCCTTTTAGAAAAAAATCTCGTTCTGCAGTTGCTTTTACAAAGCAAACATGTAGCAATTAGGTGCAGACGTTGAAGTTAATGCAGAAGAAAGTCCGGGCCAGGAAAAAGCTCAGAGCAGAAAGTCAACATCAGCCAACCACAGCTCACTGTTGAAGCCTCAGACTTGGCCACGGTGCTGCAGCAGAAACATCTCGCTCCAGGCCTTTGCTTTGGAGCTCAAACAGACGGTGCCAATATGTAACCCTACACCCAGTCTGGATGAGTTCAAATCACACTAAAGGTTATTGTCTTTGTTAAAAAAAAAACGCCTCTTAGCTTTAAATTACAGATCTGCGGTACCTCGGGGGGCAGTGAGTGAAACTCTATCTGTGTGCTATTTGCATTGATTGGAGCGAGTTCCGCTCTGTGGGTGTGAGAACAGCACAGTGTCTGCTGTGAGCTGGGTGTGCTGCACTGGTTCAGTCAGACAAACGACGAACGATTCCAGGATGGAGTGAACCGTAGTGATGAGAAAAGTATTGACCACAGTGTCATTAAATGTCAGTTACTGGTGTTGGTTTCACAGTCGTGTCCCTCGTGTTGTTTTCTCATCTCCATCTAACACTGAATGTTCCATAACCACAGACACATGTCAAGTCCAACCCTCTGTTAAAACTCAACTGGACTCCATCAGGAAACTGCAGCTGTTTGTGATGAGGTTCTTGGACATTCCGAGTCGAGGAGAAGTAGGCAGTTCCTCGTCCCTGGAATGTTTTGCGACACGGTTCCACTTTTGTCTCTTACGCTCATTTTTGAAGACGAGTGACTGACGTGAATAAAAAGGTGAATGTGGTGGTGTTTGGTGTAACTCTAGGCAGCTGCGATGTTGTCTTTACAGTCGGTGGGTTCTTAGTACCAGCAGACTGCATACATACGTATAGATTTATCAGACAATGGTTGTGACAAGTGCATTTGTTCTCTCTCAGAGAGTAGTCATGTTATCTTGGTAGTGAGCGAAGCCCAGTGATTTAAAAAGAAAAAACACAAAAAAACATATATATACTAAAGTGTATGAAAAAGCCAGAAACAATGTTTGCTATCGACATATTGGAAAGTGCTTGGCTCGTGTATTTTGCAGGACTGTATTTGTTTCTTGGTGAAGAGTATATTTATTGGCCAGCAGTTGTCTCAATCGGTGCCTAGTTGAACATTGGTCTGTGAAAACACAGAGACACCTGCTTGTTTTATGTCCTGTTTCCTCACCCATCTGCTGTCACACGAACGGAAGCACCGCTGCTAGTGCTTTCAAGGATGTTTACAAATGTCTTCATTTGTTTTCCGGGTGAAAGAAATTCAGAACTCTCTTCTTCCTTCTCCCTCGTCTCCTCCTCCTTTCTCCCTCCCTTCAGGAGTTTGTGTAAAGTGTACATTGCCATTGTTCCTTTTTATACAATACTCTGTAACTTGCCTTTGTAAATTTCGGCTGGAAAAAAATAAATCTTTTTATGAGACTATCTGTCCTGGGAACTGTTCAGTGTCTGCTTCTCTTTTCCCCAAAGATTCAGTGGAACTGTTTTATTCTTTTCATTTTAATTTCATTGTAAACAAACCTAGTAAAAACATGGCTGCAGGTAGGATGTGGATCCCAACATGCCAGCAGACTTGATGCAGCTTTTCCAAGAACTTTTTCTCAATGTTGTAAAATGTACAGTTTGTTCTGACTTTAGACAATGCAGGGTTTTCCTTTAGTTCCCAGTGAGTCGGTCTTTCACTTCTTCTGTGGCAAATAGAAAATATAATCAGAATTTTGCATGTTATGGAACTTATTGTGTCAGTCAGGACTACAGATAAGGAGGTTTATAAGAAGAGAAAAAGAAAGGAATTGTATATTGTAAAAAGCACAAGCTACAGATTTAGCTTCCAAGAGACGTGAAATTGAAATCATTTTAAGGGATTTATTTAGTTATATTTAGTTCGTGGAATTGTCTTTATTATGCTGCTTGACTGTTTGGGCACCAGGTGTGGAGACGGCACTGAAGAAAATTAAGGAGGAATCCTCAGAATACAATGATGTGTGGTGTTTTTCAAGAGATTGTCTTGTTTGTGATGTCAACACAAAGTTATAAAAATAGTCCTAGAATATTTGGAAATTTCTGAGGCTAAAGTATAAACCCAATACTTATCAAGTGTGACTACCAGAGATGCTAGTAATGAAGAAGTGACAAATATTTCCAATTCAGATGCACAATGTTTTTGTTTTTTTTACAAATTAAAAATAATTTTTCACAGTGCTGCAACACATTTCCTCTAGTGTATACAATCAGTTTTGGTTTTTTTTTCAACCAAGAGTCCGTGACTGTACAGGTGTAGGTGTGAAACAGTTGAGGTGAAGAAAACCAATGTGTGAGGATTTCAGTGAGGTGAAGGATATAACACGACAGAAAACATGGTAATTGTTAGAAAATGATATTCACTGTGCGAACACATTAACAAATTACACAGCACTGATGTGGAACCGAGGCCAAGGTGTCGGAAAAATTGGAAAAAAAAGGTTACATACTTGCCAATAAAACCTTAAAATACTGGAAAGGTGTTAGTGACTGACTATGGGTGAAAAAAAAGTCATCTTTGTCTAAAATAGTGATTCTCAATGTTTTTTCCTGCAGCACATCCCCTTTTAGAAAGGACTAATATCATACCTCCCCCCCCACACACACACACACAATCACACACTAAAGTGCTATTTCCACTATATAAATATATTCACAGACATATATAACATTTTATAGAAATGCATGTGCACTTTTGCACCCCTCTAGGGGGACTTGCCCCCCATTTTGAGAACCACTAGTCTACTAAAGAACATTATAGTCCTTGTAGTTTGTTTTTTGTTTTTTTGCTGAACTGAAGTAAAGAATAAAATATTTTAAAATCTGTTTTCTGTTGGACTACAGGAAAAATCTCACCAAAACTAGAACTGCACTGTCGATGTTCAACCACTGGAGAGCAGTGTCTGTGGAGGCAGGCCTCACTCTGACATATGAAAAAAACTTTAATTAACATTATGCATTCTCACTCATCAATCTACAATATTGTAGAGTTGAGGAAATATATGCAGCATAATATATTTTACTCCTCACTCTTAGTTACAGAACAGACTGAAGGTGGAATCATGTATTTTTCCATTTGTGTGTGTCACTGTAGGATGTTTGTTTCTCTGTACTGTGACGTGGGCTCTCGCTCTGTTCACTGTGCTACGACGGTGACAGGGTCGTGATTATGCCATGGATGATTTTGTCGAGTGTTAAATGTGAAATCTGATTATCCTCTCTGCTCTGCAGAGGGAGGAGGGCCAGCAGAGAGGCAGAGAATCAGGATGAGGTTGGCTGGGGATAGATTCAGGAGGAAGGAGGGGTTAAGACAGCGATGTGCTGAGCCAGTGGCTTTTCCACACAGCAGCTGGTTGGCAGCAGGACAGGACAGGGCAGGGCCAGAGAGGACCGTCGACAGGCTCTGACGAAGGATAACCCGAGGACCGCTCTCCTCCGCTCGCTGTGGAACACTGAGGTGGACTTCCAGGAGGTGTTCATGGGATGCACTATCTACGCAGCCAGCCCTAAGGCCCTGCCTGCCGACGAGGCCACAGGCCAGGACAGATACCACCAACAGCCCCACTACAGCCCACCTCATGGTAACTGCAGTCACAGACTAGGAGCCAGCAGAGCCAGGTCAGTCATCAACAGCCAACAGTGGTCAGTAACCATGAGAATAAGTGATGTGTATGAGTTATTAGTAACACTGATGGACTGTGAATGAGTTAAGGAATCATCTTTAACCAGGACCATGTGTATAGAAAGTCTGCATTTAGATTTAGGTTTGTGTGATCTCAGATGTTCTCTCTATGAAAACCTGCAGGGAGACATAAATAATAGATTAAAATAGACATTTATAGTAGATTATGATGACAATTATTGACAATCTCTGAATAATCAGTGAATAATCATTAGCAACTAGTTCAAGCAAAGAGTTTTCCTGGTGCTGAGCTCAAGCTGTTTTTACTGTTCCAGTAAAAACCTGGAATTTATTTCACTGAATTAAACTCTGTCTTTTGAACTGACAGGTGAAGCCACTGTTATCTGGAAGAAAAAAATGTAGATTTGTTTTTGGGGGTTTTTTGTGCACGACTTCACATTAATATGTTGGAGTCTTAAACACAAAAATATCGATCTGACTGAAGTGTTTTTCACAGTGCACGTTTTTCAAGGGCTTTCAAAAGTTCTTCTTTATTTTACACAACATCTGGGGTGTTGCAAGATATTTGACCAATCACAGGGGAGACACTCCGATTGGCTGCCACACTCCTACTCCTATCTATATATCTATATCTATATCTATACACACACATACACATATATAGTTCTAGATCCAGGTTTGTTGAATATATATATATATATATAAACAAACCTGCTTCCAGTAATCTGCAGTTATAACTTTGTAGAAATAGTGCATATAACTGAAAAGTCCGTGGTCTAATTTAGTGTATTCCCCGGCAGTGAGTGAAGAGTGTGTAAGAAGCTCAGCCCACCTCCGTTTAATAACGCTCTTACTTCACTGCTGTGTTGCTGCTGCGTTGCTTCGCTCTCAGCTGCTCTCCTCCACCTGGGGCTCGACACACTTCTATCCTCGTGTGTGTTTGTTTTGGGGACAAGGATCATTAAATAATGGATTATAGTCCGGCCTGAAGGGTTTGCTGGACTGTGAAGAAGAAATAACGGCGGAAAAAAGTCGCTATTGTCAGCCACAGGTAGGAAACGTCGAGTTAGCGTACCTACCCGTAAGCAGGATGTTTATCACTTCCGGTGTAGTACTTTTACAATAAAAGCTAATCCTGATACTATAGAATATACTGTATTTTAATTAAAAAAAGAATTTTCACGAGACCATAAAAAAGGTACGGAGCACTAAGAAATTATAATTACGTTTTAGTTTTATGTCTAGTTTCATTCTGTATATCATTATTTTCAGTTAAAAACATAACCAATATAAACATACAATTTTTTTTATGATAATCTGATACTAATCTATACATTGTTTCTATATAAAGTTTCTGTTTGGTCTTATACAGTATCTCAGGTAATGTACAAGTAACTGCTTTAAACTTGAAGGTGTGCTTTCGTTTGCGTCATTCCTGCCTGATGTGTTGTTTTAACTTGACTAAATATCTGCAATGAGCTGTAAAAGTTAGATAGAGAAGAAGCAGTGTAACACGGGCCATGTTTGTGTTTCTCTAGATGCAAATGTTTTAAAAATAACGATGTGTATTATTCAAAAATGAGCAATTAATGAATTCATCCATTAATAGTATCATTTAGTGACATAATAGGCTTTAGCTTCAGTGTTGTCTTTTAATAAGGGCTATTATTTCAAATGATTCCAATAATCAATGGTATCAATGTATCATTCATTTACTCTGTGGTTCTGTGTCAATAACGTACTGCTGGTGGAACATTTGTAGCGTCATGTTGGTCAAACAGTTTCCATCAAAGGTTGTTTAGAGACACTTGCACAATGGGAAGGTTATTTCAGGAGGTCTCAAGCAGAGAGCAGCTGGACTGGAGTCCATAGAGAACAAACAAACACACACACACACACACACAAACTTTGTGTCTTTGAAGACTCCACAAATGGACCACTTTCATTTTTCTTTTTTACACTAGTTGATAATATACACACACTCTGTATTGTGTTTACACTGTAAATAAGACAGACCGTGTGCTTTATAAAGCTGTGTGTCTCATGTCTTTGAGTACTTTGTTCAAGTTTGTACATTAATGAGTCCTAATGTATGTGAATTAGGGAAAATAATTTAGTTATTGCAGTAAATTAGGATATTTTATTTTATTTATTCAAACATTGACAAGAAGAAGCAGGAAGTGAAACGGTGGCTGCTGAGTTTTTAAGAGACAAATCATAACTAGGCTCATATTTGTAGTTACAGTTGATGGTCCAGACTGTTGGTGTTTAACTAGGAACAACATCAAACCTGTTCAAGGACCATCATTGGCTCCCAGGCCGGAGTTGCATCAACATGTTATCAATAAAGTAATAAGCAAAAGTTGTTTATGGCTCCAACTTTAGCTCAGCTGTAAATGAATCCCCTGACTGCAGAGAGATGAGCGAGGAAGCTTTACAAGATTAGAGGTTATTGGATTAGATAATGACTTGTGACGAAATGCTTGTCTCCAGAAATGAAGAAGTTAATATTTATCCTAGAGAACTAGATTAGTATGTCTAACCTGATCTGAAACCAGTTTGTTTAGTTGTTTTTTTTTTTAAATCAACCATTTCCATAAAATGAGGCAGGCTTATTATTATACCGTAACTGACTCACACACAGTTTAAGTAGTGTATTTTATCAGGTGACCCTGAGTGAATGTGTTTGGGTGTGTGTAAATAATAGTTCTTAATTTTTCTTAAGAAGATGTTAATCATTTTTTTTACTTTAGAATAATTTCCCATGCCAAGTATTTCCTCTCTGACTTTAAAGAGGTTTAGTTATATTTAAGAATACATTTATAATAATCATCATCATAAAATGATGAACATTTTGCATTTGCTCAAACTGAAAAAAGACACAGAGATTCAACCTCTCATGGTCTAATGATTAGAAAAAAACCCCATCTATTTTCTGACTGAAACTTTTTTCTCTGATAATATAATAATGCTTATTTTAGCTGCCTAAACAAACTGCCTGCTGTTGAGGCGATTACACAATCACGGGCTATTTTTGAACATTTTTTAAAATGTCAGATCTGGATTAAAATACACCTTAAATATACATCTCTAGACTAAATCAGATGTATTTGTTCATGTAGCCTGAGAGCCACAGTGTCAGAAGGTTAGGACAGGGCTTCAGCTCAAACCTACTGTGTTCACCGCTCATTAAGACACACGAAGACAGACAAGCAGAGTCTCTCTCTGAATGAACCTTTTGACTTCATCACCACAAACTTGGATTGATCACGATTGTTAGTAATCCAATCAGATGTTATGCCAGGAATGAAGTGTTTTTGCACCAACTGCAAAACTGTTTTCCTTTTTCAATGGGCAGCAGCAGTGCAGTAAATCTGATGGGCTAAAACCTGCCAATTCAGCAGAAATGCTTTTACACTTGGCTTTAACAAAGTAAAATGAACCCCACGCACATTTTAGCATTTGGTTGAAACAATCTCTTTTGGATTTATTCATACAGGGTTTTTGTTTTTTAAACAAGCAGTAAATCAGATGTTTTTTTGTAACTTAGGAGCCATCTTTAGACGCTGTTGGTCCGAGTCAGTGCTCTCACATCCACACATTCTAACTGAAGTTCTGACTGAACTTGAAAGTCTGATCATTTCTTGCCTTTCATTTTAAAAAGGGAAATACAATCACAAAGCAGTGCACTTTCCCCACTGTTGGGACAAAAACACAAATATTGAAATAAAAAAGAATTTACCCTGACACACCTCTCCACAATAGCCCCACGTCCCCTAGGGGTTCCACCCACCCTACAACAGGAACCACTGATCTAAGTGGACTGTGTTCCATCAGAGCAGTCAAGCACGTCCACAGAGCTGCAGCAGCTCCACTGCGCCCCCTGGGCCACATCTGGAATCAGATCTCTCCTCTGATTCCATTAAGCTTACGATGAAGGTGAAGAGACCCTTCAAATAGCACTGTTATCTGTTACAGCAGACCCTCCATCATCCATTCCACCCCTGTGTGATCACAGGCGTCACCCCCAGCAGCAGGAAGTCCCAGTTGTTTGAGCAGGTCAGGGTTGACGTAAAGCTTCTGGCCAATTAGAGATAATAGACTGGAAAGTACATGCGAGAGCCTGTTTCCATCAGCACCAGTAATGAAGTCAGAACAGGTGCTAATGGTTTGACTTCTCCCAGAGGAAAACACCACGCGACGCAGGTGTGTCTCTCTGGGTGTGTGTGTGCTTTTTTTATTTATACAAATAAAGTTAACATTTAAAATTTGCTTTTTTTGCACCGATGAAAAAACGACATGGGCAGTGTAAACATTAGGGGTGTGAGAAAATATTGATATTCAACATTACTGTATAGATCTAAAACGTTTTTCAGTTAACAATAACATACACACATATTCATGCCGTTAGTTCATTTTATCTTGTTTTTTTTTCTTCTCTAACGTAACTCTAGCATGTAACAGCTTGGTGTGTTTACTGTTCTGGCAATTAATTGCTTAAAAAAAACTCAATATATCATCATACCTATAGTATATAAAGCAATACGTTTCGTATCGCCAGATTCCTGACGATACACATCTTTAGTTATCACAGAAATTGATCAAACAAAAAGGTTTTTTATGTGACATCTTTTTCGCCCCATTGCTAAAATTGTTTCCCTTGTTGTGTTTTCATGTCGACCTAGTTTTAAAATGATTAACTACCATGGCCTTATCTACAATGCTATTTGTGATAGTGGCACAAAATGTGCACAATAGCATTTTTTTTTACAGTATCAACATGTTTTTTGTGGCTCCTCTTGTTAAGAATTAAATAAAAAACATAAGCCGGCTGGTGTTTAAAGTTGTGGTGACAGGACTCTTTTAAATCATTTCTTTTTTACATAGACCTACTGTACCTGTTATAAGGTACAGTATGTGAGACATTTGTGTCAAGCCTAAAGACAAGTGTGTCCTCAAACGTTGCTGGACAGAGATGTGGATCTGTATGGAAACATTTTTCTGATGGAGTCAATGATTAGTCAAGTGTATTGGTTACATAAATAGACATTAAAGTTTCACTGATGCACCCTTTACTGATGGATATGATGAGCTCTGTCCATTTCCTATATACAGTCTGTGTTGTTGAATGTCTTTCTACAGACATGTTTCCATTTTCCAAACCTCCTACTTTATAAATTTATTCTGTGGGTTATTGAATTCACATTATTTACCTTTAATGTTGCCTCAGTGTTGACTCACCAGTTCTACGATGCAACAGCATGACGTTTCTATTGCCAAGGTGGCTCGGTTCTCTAACCTTTTTTTAGTAATGAGTGAAAAGCTCTTTGGTTTATTCTTATGTTTAAATAAAGTACGTTTTATTTTGATCTTGTTAGAAACAACGGGGCTGATTTTTCCACCACTGGCTCTGTTTCATCTGTTAAAACAGCATTGTGTCAACAAGCAAAATGAAATGTGTCACATCACACTGCTGTGTGCTGCCTCTATCTCGTGTGAATCTTTTTTTTTCTGTCACTCTGACCTCAATGTTTCCTCTTTTTGTTTGTGTGTTTACACCTTATCTGTGAATCTGCCTCCACAGGAAATGTACCTCTGTGTGGGCCTCTTTGGTTTTCCACTCAGCTGCCATACATTCAACAAAGATGCATAAAAAGATATGGTTTTTCATAATACAAATCTTCAATGGAATGAATTTTTTAACATTTTTATTCAATTCAAAAATGTAATATTTGATTTGATTTAATTAAAAAAGTGGCACTATGATGGTAAAATCATGGTTAACATACTGTATAACGTAAAACACTATTTAACAATACAACAATATTTATCTAAGTCTTAGACCCGCTAAGCTAAGCTAACGCTGCTAACACTCCAACCTCTTAGTTGTTATTGTTTATGTTTAAATGGCAGCTTTGCGTCATGTGAGAAGCACAGTGCCACCTATGTACACACGGACAGTTGTATCCATTGTAGTTTTGTTGTTGTTTGATATTCTGTGAGTTTTCAGTGTTTTTCATTTAACCGTGTTGTTTATTTTATATAGTTTCCTAAAATTCTGGTTCCGTAATGTTTTCACATAGAAATTCTTTATCCTGAACTTCTTCTTGCCTAACACACACACACACACACCCAAAGGGTGAACAGGCAAAATCCATAAAAAAACAAACAAACATCAGTTCAAGATACTGATCATTCTGCTGTAAGGCAAGAACACTAACCACTGTGTCCCCTTAACACTAATTCTGTCATGTTATACTTTTCTTTTTTAATTTAATCTCTAAATACATAGTTCCTCATTTTGTTCCTGGAAAAAATAGTATGAATAATATTAAAGTATGAACAGGAAATGCTTTAAAAGCTTCTTTAAGCAGCCTGACTCAGCTCCCAGCAGCAGCAGCAGCAGTACAGCAGGTGGACCATCTGCACCACCTCGGAGCTGTGTCTTTGTAGACATCTGCCTGAGCACTGACTCTGACCCCATTTGCACAAGAACGCAGCTTTTTACTGCAAGGCTGTGGGTTTGGGTTTTTTGTGTGTGGTACAAGCTAACAGTCAGACTTTGAATGTTGCATCACCTCTGTGTTGATTCTGGACACACAGTCCACAGGTTTGTCCCATAAACCCTGTGGGAAGAGGTCTATTTGAAGCCAAACCTGGACACAAACAAACATCTTGGTTTTTTTTTACAGCTGCACATTAAAGTGTGCTGCAGTGGAGCCTGTGGCTAACACACAGTCCTGTGTTTGTGTATTCAGGCCCAGGAGCATGACTGAGCAGCAGGAGCTGAGTGAAGAAACAGGCCTGCTCTCAACCCAGGACCTGGAGCCCTCCAAGGACGAGGACACGCACGGACACTTCAGGCAAGTCTGGCGCGCGCGCACACACACACACACACACTTTACTCTGCGACACATACTGTTTTTTGACACACACACACACACACACTTTTTTCTGCGACACATACTGTTTTTTTTCCAGGCTGTCTTTCCCTGCTGCACCATCTGAGTCCAGTGCACAGTCATCAGTTTCAGCTCCAGGAAATTTTACAGTTTCAGTTTGTGCATTCACTTCAGTGACGTATAACGTTGGTCCAAAGTGTGCGTGGTCATGTGATAATGTTTTCAGACGGTGCGTTCGTGTGTGATGGTTCATTTTGTCTTCTCTTTTCCCATCATTTACAGTAGATAGTGTCACAGTCCTGATACTGTATATGGTGTAAAGACAACATGTAATCCTGATACTGTATATGGTGTAAAGACACCATAAATAAATACATTTCTTAGGTGGCATTGGGTAATATTTCTGAATACCATATTTGGTTCTGTTTGACTTAGTGTCTGTCAATTGTTGTCTGTTGTTCTCTTATTTTACCTCGTTTCCTTAAATTCCCCCCTTCACCTCCCAACACCACACAGAGACACTGCTAACCTCCTCATAAAACTCCCCTGTTGATGCACTTTATAATTTAAGGTGTTGCTCCGGAATTTGTTGTGACCACAACTCGCACACACTATTTCCTGGAAATATAACGGTGCAGTCAGTCACCGTTAGAAACTGGAGAACTTTTTTTGACCACAGTACGTGGTTCTCACGGACTCGTACACGGTGTGTTCACGACCACTGAACCGGCCTGTAGGTGGTCATCAACCACCGTTAGCCTCCTGGCTGTGTGTGAACACAGATACACACAGATACCATTAATGATGTAAAGAGACGGTAATGACATTTGACCTTTTTTTCTACACCCACAGTTGGATTTCAGCGCAGTGGTTGTGATACGTAATAAGAATAATGATGTGGACTTTTTTCTCTAACTGTTGGAGGTGAAGGTTAGAGTCAGTTTGTCCCCCAGGGTCACTCCTGTTTTAATAATTACCCTCTTTGCCCCACCTGGGCATGTAGAGCTTGTGTCCAACCTATTTATAGACGCGGAGCAGCAGGCAGCACACACGGACTATTGTTCACAACATGGGCACATGGGAGGCTTTTTATATGAAAACAATTTAATAGGCAGAGAATGAAGTATCTGGTGTAGTATACAGTACATGAGATCCTAGCAGCTCAGAAAGGCTCTTAATCTCAGTCTAATCTCAGGTTCACACTGTGCTTTTAGGTTAGATTATTTATTATTTAAAGAACATGAGATTCATGAACACTTTTTTTGTTTTGTTTTTCAAATGACCAACTGACTAACCTGCAGTATGACCTTCACCTCATGTGTTAAAAACATGTGTTTTCTCTGGTTCAGTCAGAGACAGCTGGGACTTTCTGCTGTTTGTAGATAATGTCTTCAAATGTTGTTGACTGAGTGATGTATGAGTCAGAGAGCCAGTGAGGTGAGGTTCACTAATACAACTGGACAGCTGGCTACACACACACACACACACACACACACACACACACACATACTATTTTTTGTGTTTTGTGAGCGCTTGGAAAAGTCAGATACAGTAAATGCTTCTCTTAATCCCTGGCCTGACTCTAATCTGTTCTCTGAACTCTTCTTCTAATCCTTACTCCAAACTAAATCTTAAACCTTAAAATAACCACTTTGTCAAAGGAGTGCTTCCAGTTGCCCCCACAGCGTCTTAACAATAATATCGTCCAACACAAACATGACTCCAACGGTAATCTCTGGGTTTTTGGATAAAGGCTGCCAGTGTCACTCAGTGTCAGTGACAAGGTCATGGTTTACTCTAACTGGTTAAGTTAATCACCAGTATATGTCACCTGTTGTGTTGACTGGTTAAAGTCAGTCCCAGGTCTGTGTCCAGCTCAGTCTCAGAGACACAGAGACAGACGTCACACTTCAGTTCACAGAGTAGAGTTGACTTTTCTGAGTTGTGGTTGGGCGACTGAAGAAAAGTAGATTTTGTGAAAAAGCACAAGTCGTTGTTCACTGCCTATGTTACTGTGACACCTGAACTGTTAGGGGATCAGTTCAGGGAACAGTTCTCCTGGAGGCAGCCATTTTGTTTCCTGTCCATGGCACATTAAACACAAATGAGAGTTTATGGTCATTTTGTCGGACAAGTTCTTGTTACCTCCAGGGTAAATGGAGTGTGGCAGTAGCTGTTTGTCAGCTGCCGTCCTCTGACAGGAAACCATGTGAGGACAAACTGTTTTAGGGAGGCAGAGGCTGATTCCATAACCTTCAATGACCATGTTCAAGGTCACTATATATACTGTATATATAAACAAAAATCTTCATTTTGGGCCATTTGCATTTGTAGGATGTTCCCTCCCTCCCTCTCTCCCTCACTCCCTCCCTCTCTCCCTCACTCCCTCCATCTTTCCTCTATAATAAAATGTCTGGAAAATATACCACGGCGGAAATTGAGGCGGCAGCTGCCTCTGCCAGTGCTTCTGTTTTATCAGTATCTCCTTGAGCAGTGAGCAGTGAGTGTTTCTGCGGCGTGGCTTCACGTCGTCCTCTATTCTCTGTCCATCAGCCACTGACGGAGGAGGAGAGGCTTCTGCAGCCACAGATAAATCCTTCACAAACATCTGAGACAGACTTTCTTCCTGTGCAAACGTCTCTCCTGCAGCGTCCTCACAGTGACAGCTGATCTCACCATAAACTATTCTGGGACGGTGTTTGCAGTAGATATGAGTTTTTACATGTAGTATTACTTTGAATATTCCTCCTGTGCAACATGTGTGATGCATGTGTTACATACTTAGGAGTATTTATAAGAATATATGAAGTGTAGTTCAGTCCTAGTTTTCTTTCAGTTGGATCATAGATCATATATCAGAATATTCTAAAACCAAACTTTTCTTATTTCCCCCCCAGGTTTCAGCTGATTGAAGATCTGTCTTATGAAGATGTGAAGAAATGTTACAGGGGCTCGGTGAGTCCCAGCTCTGCTTGTCAAACAACTACTGTATTACTTCACTGAGGACAATCAGGATGACACTCTGATTACACAGAATATATTGTTGATAAGAGTTCAGTACGGTACTTCTGTTGGCATTCCATTTACTGACATTCATTGGTTCCCTTTTTACCTGTAATTTTATTTAATTATTTATCCTGTTCTATTACGTAATAATGGAAAAATGTAACCAAATTCAACAGTGACTTATGCTCCGACTTCATTCATCATAATTGAGGTGCATTCACTTGAACAGTTTAAGGAATCAGTGAATCCCTGCAGCTCAGGTGGTACAGCAGCAGTCAACATTATCACAGCGCTGTTACACCTCTAAGATCCACATGACGGAGGACAGGAGCTAACAGGGGCTAATAATAGACAGACACAGGCACAGGTGACAGACAACAGCCCACTGAGCAGACATGAGTGGAGAGGAGAAGCAGGGCCGGACCGAAGGAGGGTGGCGGGGGGGAGGGGGAGCGGGGTGTTGCGGTGTCAGGGATGACAAACAGTATCGAGTTCTGGAGTTCTGTGAATGACACGGCAGTAGAAGAGCAACCGACATGGAAAATATACACGTTTGTTTGGAAAAAAGTAATGACTGTTGGGTGTAAATGAACAAAGAGGCGTTAAAGTCAAAGAAACAGATTTGATCTGTGGATTCTGAGGAGTGCATATGGCTGCTGAGTTATGCTGTTTATTCTAGGAGCTGATTAATCAGGGACTGGGCTTGTGTGTGTGTGTGTGTGTGTGTGTGTGTATGTATGTGTGTGTGTAGTGGAAAGCAAAGGAGGAAGGAGAGGGAGGGTGTGAGCTGCGTGCAGCGAGGAGTTGCTGTATATGCATTGAGGCAGAGAAAGGAGGCTTTGTATCTGCTGATTTGGTTCTCAGTGCGTGTGTAGTGAGGCGTTAGTGCTGTGACTGTAGTGTTAGTGTGTGTGTGTGTGTGTAGACAGTAGCCGTAGCACAGGCAGCTCTCCTACTGTGTCCTGTACTGACCGGCGACAGGGGAACAGTGTGTTTCTTGCAGCAGTCTGCTCCAGGCCCTGGATGTGCGCGAGTGTGTGTGTGTTTACGGTGCCAACGTGCTGAGCCTGGTGCAGAGCTCCCTGCCGCTGAGGGAGAGGGTGGTGTCTGCGGGCAGGGGGGGCGGGGG